CGTAGAAAGTTTCTCCGACGGCCGCAATAGGAAATTGCCCCATCATAAACCAAGGGTTTCCGAAAGGTCCGCCGTACGAGGCCCAGAGGCCCGAACCGGCAGGTCACGAGTACTTGACCTGGAGGAAACTCAGCTGCACAAAATTCTCAGATGCAATTCCACTAGGTAATATAGATACAATAACCGTTGCTCATGGCCTAGCTGAGCAGTTCATCAGTAGATTTGGATGCCCAAGAGTGATTCATACCGACCAGGGAAGGAATTTTATTAGTCAGATTGTGGCGGGTACGTCGCTGCCAACAAGCCCTTACCGAACCTTGTTCTATTTTTCCACGCGAACTTTCTCTTTTCCAACTCCTTCAGATTTTAGTTTCCGTTCTTTTGTCTCTCCCCGGGTTAAGACTTGCCTTCGTACTCGAAACGTACCCGTCGAACCGCTGCCACCGGGACGATTAGTGAACAAAACAATTGTATTATTCCGGGCGAACTGTATGCCGACTATCGCATTTAGATTTTAATAAATTGAGGTGAAACCAGTGCAACGGCGTTCCTCACCCACCTCAAGATCATGAAAAATTTCTGTAAAATTTTTAAAATCCAACGAATAACATCCACTGCTTTCCATCCTCAATCTTTAGGTTCATTAGGAAAAGCACACCGTTTTTTCATCAACTATCTTAAAAATTATTGTACAAGAACAGACTGGGACGATTGGATAAGGTTTTGCATTTTTTCTTATAATACATCTATACATGAGGCCATGGGTTTCACTCCGCATGAATTAGTTTTTGGAGTCAAAGCTGTTTTTCCCTCTGAATTCGTCAAAGAGCGAGTACCTCATACCTTTAACCAATATTTAGACAATCTTTTCACCAAAATTACCACCACTCAGGCTACGGCAGCAGAAAATTTAAATAGAGCAAAAGAAAGGAGTAAAAATTTTTATAAGAGCATTAACCCTCGTAGTTTCAGGGTAAATGATGATGTATAATTACTCAAGGTATCAAGAAATTCTAAATCTGATTGTAATTGGGCAGGACCGTATAAAATTAATAGAATATTTGATGACTTGACAGTAGAACTAGCACTCGGAGTTAATAACTTTAAAAAAGTTAATTCAAATAAATTAAAGTTGGGTTGCATAAGACCGGATGATTCAGACGTGGAAGATTAATGTTCAAATTTCACTGTTATATATTCAATGCGCCTTATACTCATTCATTATTATTACTGTATTTTTGTGTTCATTATGGTTATGTAAGTTGTTTGCCTAGAAGCTGTACCTGTATTTTATGTATATCTATAAACAACCCAGTCACTAATACCATACTTAAATGCCGCTTTTCTTTTCTTTTTACTTACTTATTTTACAAACCATAACGAGCGTCCTGATGTGTATGTGTGCAGAGTGGAAAAGTTGTTTTATGAAAACACCTTTTTGTATAAGGGGGAAGGTGTTACGCTATCGCACGAACGTAGTTTTAATCGCTTGTCGTGCACGCCCGTGAATACGGAACCCCCAAAAACTGGCCAAAAGTCGAGTAGAGAATTAACGTAAGGAAGACTTATCATCATACTCAGGAATAGTTAAAGTACACATGAACAAAATATTTTGTTGATTCAATTCCTGTTCCATTGGCATTGATCTAAAGTTGAAAAACGCTTTGAAATTACTGGTATGTCTGTTTCTTGTAACATGAATGTTATTCATCAATTTATGTTTAATTTATGAAATTTTATTTTTATTTATTTATTTATAGATACATATCAATTAAGAATAACACAGATAAGTTACGAAAGTTAACTAGAAATTGTAATATTTTATTCTTTATTGTCATACTGTAACCATATTTCGCAGTATGTTCACCTTTCGATTCATCGTTCCCCTAAGTTCCACCTCTTATGAAGAAAAATGAAACTTAAATGTGTTTTTTGGAATGTATTGCTCCTTTTTGTTCCTTTTGATGTCCTATTGAAATAAATATTATTGAATAGCGGTCGTACGCGCGCAGTTGGATATTGAACTACGGTCGAATATACACATCGAGCGGAACAGGTAAAGGCTGTTTTCTCAGAAGCCATTGCAGATATCAACTTGAAACTTTCAAATGTTGAATGGTATATAGGGATTAAGATTTTAGAATGTAAGACATTGTGGGCGTGAGTTCCTTAAGGGTGGACATGATGCCACACTCATTTTTTTTAAATGAGATGGCATATTAATTTTTCTATATTCGGAAAGATGTTATCAAACCTAATAACTTGTATCTGAGGCATTTCTTTTTATTCTGCATAGTTAAGGAGTTATAGCGGAAAAACCTTACGGAAGGGGAGTTTCGTGTAGATGTCGAAATTTATTAAAAGAAATATATTCTGCTTTGAAAATTATTTTATTAGATGTTCAAAGAGTTGTCCATTCGCTTCCAAACATGTATTTATTTTTGTGATAATATCTTTGCGAACATTTGATAATATTGTTAGACTTATGGATTTACATGCGGTGTGAATTCTTCTTTTCATATACTCTTTTGTAGTAGATGTCGTTGCGACAACATTTTCCTCTATGTAGCCCCATAAAAAGTCAAAGTTCATTTATTCGTATTGAAATTTAAGAAGTCCAACAATAGAATTTAAGCCACTTAATAAATTAAATTTTGCTCAGATACACCTGAAATATATGTTGCAAACTATTCATGGTTTCCTATGCCTGCAACACTACACAAAATTCTTATTCATGGTGCAGATATTATAAGTACGAGTATTCTACCTGTAGAAATGCTTGGCGAAGAAGCTAGAGAAGCTCGTAATAAACATTTTAAAAATTACAGGCAATATCATAGTAGAAAAATAAGTCATAAAATAACGTTGGCAAATGTATTTTATAGATTAATGGATACATCAGATATTATAATATCAACTTTAAATATTAATTCACGTCTAAGAAAAAAGAAATTTTTATCCATTCCACCAGAGATAAATCATTTGTTAGCTGCTCCTGAAATAAACGTGAGCAGCTGTACTATTTCTCATGTACACGATAGTGACAGTGAAGACATGAATGCAGATGAAGACAAAGGGAGTAAAAATACAGATCTTCTATACACTTTCACACAATTAGATAAGCTTAAACTGGCAAATGAACTGACAGAATTTTAAATATATGTTCAATAAAAAACGACTGACGTTACCTACAGAATTATAAATAGCAGCAAGATGACTCACTTACATTCTTTAACATCTCGAGTAGTGAGAGGTAAGGGGACTCACTCTAATAAAGCACCCCAAATTACCGAAATAGTAATTAAAGAATTACAGAAATTCAGGGTAATTACAGAAATTCTAGGCAAACTACGGACGTTTTTATTAGAAAATCTTGCTTTTTTAATATTATAGCAACCGTTGTGAATCCGATATTGTGAATTTTGAATTTTTAGTATTATATTCGTTATCAGTGACCTCGAAAACCCCTAATTACCAAGTTTCAGAAAAATCGGATGAAATCTTGACTTTTGGCCAGTTTTTAGGGGCTCTACGCGCGCTCTGATTGGCCAGTTTTTTCGTTAATAATTCAAAAACGAAGCTTCAACCAACATTTTGGAAAAGGAAAAGGTTGTTCAGAGTCACCCCAGCAACCCCCCAATTCTGGGAGTTACACTCTTTACGGGACAGCCTGTATATATATTGCAACTAACTATGACATTACTAAACCCATCATTTTGATATGTTCTGGTATATTTAGGTATACATTAGACAGATCATGAAAATTAAAGTGGTTAAATAGAAATTATATATGGATATATAACTGTTGTTCTGTCTTATTAAAAGTCATTATAAATTTCTACAACAATATCTATATGATGTTAATAATTTTAAAGTAAGAAATTCGAAAACCATCATTTTAATGGACTTGGTAGTTTTAGTGTTAAGCAGTTTTCAAATTACAAACAAAACAGATGCAAAATTTAAAATAGAAGAAATATGGGAAAATATCTGAAGTTCAACTATTAAAAAACTAGTCGAGTTTATGCTTAGACATTTACAAACTGTCATAAATACAAATGGTATGCCACAAAATATTAGAGTTAAAATTATTAACTGTTTTATATAATTTTGTTAGATATACATATCTCCTTATTTTTATTAATAAAGTGAGATGAATGTATTGCTCACATTTTTATCAAATGTGTTATTATTTGCTAAAAACGTAATTTTACCATACAACAAATTTGATTAGTAAAAAAATTGTTTGTTTAATGAACAGATAGATTTTCTGTATTGTATCTACACTCAATTTTGTAAATAACTGTAAATCATAGAAAACACTTAACCTATTAACTGAGTTCAACATAAGATAGAAATTGAATCTCCCTAGTTTATAATTAAAATTGAGTAAAAATGATAACCAATTACATTTTGGTTCTTGCAAATGTGATTGCGATGTATTTTATGTTTAATACAAACATGAATAATCCCTCAATAATTAAACTATCGTGTTCTAAATATTGGCTAAGCAATGACGCATTAACTCGTTTCCCTAATTAACAGGTTAAGTTAATCGCACTAACAAAATAATTTTAACAGATAATTCAGTAACATTTGTTGTAATTATAATTTAACAGCTTTGTCATCTTTTTGTTTGTACAAACATTTATTGTTAATAATGTTGAAACTAAAATACGTCATAAATACTCTCATATATAAATATCTTCAAAATAATTTTTAGTTTTACAAATTTGTAAATGTATGTTTTGATATCAATGTATTTACATTTAAAGTGTATTTTAGGTTAGATAGTTCAAGTGTTCAAGATTGATTGCTTGTAAAAGGAAAATACTTCAGATGTATCGATCATACCTGCGTTGTTATATAAAAGATATATTTACATATCACTAGTATGTACAGTTCAAATTTTATATCTTTAATTATATTTATGTATCAAATCATTTCTTCACTGTGAAAATGTCAAAGAAATTTAACCTAATATATAGATGGCACCCACATCGATGTTCGTCAACCGAGACGACGCAAGATTTATTTTGGTTTAGAAATTTGTCAAAGATCTTAAAAGGTGAAAGTGTACAGTCGTGCTTTTTTGTGACTTAATTGCGTCGAAATTTTTAAGTACTTGCTTATCGGAGATCAAGATTTGAAAAAATGACCCGTAAGTATTTCATATTTTCTTTATTCCGATATGTGAAGCAAGTACAATGTAATAAAAAAACGGAACAATATATATTTCACATCTGCCATTTGTCAATAAC